CGACGTCAGCAGCAGCTGTGACGTTGCCGCCAATAAAAAAAATATTTTTTTGAAAAATACACAAATATTTTTACTCTCCCGTTTTTTCGTTTTCTGTCGGACTTTTCGTTGGTGCTAAACGAAAAATTCACATTTTTCTGGGCGCCAATTTTGACGATAAGAACGCCGACTGCAACGTCGACTGAGGCAGCAACAGTGGCAGCGACGTCGTCGTACGATAACCACTAAGAGTGCCTAACATCTATGATTAGCAGAAAACAAGTATGAAGTGTGCTGCACTTGCGGGAATGCACGACTATCGAATACCCTAAAACGAGCATTTTTCTGAGAGTTGTACTCTATAGGAACATATTAAAATGGATAAAACTAGGGAAATGTGCTAGGCATAAGAAAATTTAAATATTTCTATGCTGTTCATACTTTTCTGCCTAAAGATTTTCTGCCAAGTCTGAGGTCTGCAGCTCTTTAAGTTTTCTAGCTAAAGCAAAAAAATCGAATTTTAAAATCAATTTTAATTGATATTTTATTATATTTTTATTATAGAGTATATGTATAGGACCAAATGGAAATATAGTATAAAATTTGCTGCAAATCTTTAGTTTTTAAAAATCTTATTAGAATTACAAATATTTGAGTTTAACTTTTCTTAAAACTTCTTACTCCTTGAATCTTAGCTTTCTTCTAGCTGTCGCATACTCTATTGCCTAATCAATATACTCAGTCTTTATACAGTTGGTTTCATGCTATCAAGAGCACATTTCTGTGCTATTGACTGAGGTAGGCGTTGGTTTAGTTGCTTGCGACAGAAACCTCTTATCAAAACGTGATCTAATCACCGCGATATAATAATTAGCATTTATATGGATATTATTATCTGCTCTTTGTGGGTGTGGATGTGGGCCTGTGTATGTGTGTGTGACTGGGTATTGATAGTGCGTTTCCTGTGGTTTAGCAAGCCCACAAAATATGCTACTGTGGCTGATTGAACCGCAATCATCATCAATTATCAAGTGTTTAAATAGAGGAAATTGTAAACTCAATGGAGAATTTATGAGCTGTACTAAAAAGAATTTTGTCATTCTTTTGGCATGCAAATAATAATGTATATATTATATAAATTATGCAAACAAAATATTTAAATCAAAATACTAAATCAAAGAGGAACCTGTTACGCATCCAACTGATTTACGTTAAGTATGATATATGATGTGATATATTTTATCATTCAATTTCTGAAGAGGAGCACAGGAATAGAATGTGAAATATGGCGGAATGACAATTTGAAAGCAAAAGAAAAAAAAAGGCAAAAATAAATTGTATTTCTAATAGTCTTTGTTTGAAAGCAAAAACATTTTGAATTGAACAAGTCAATAATAAGAATTATGGGCCCAATGGATGGAAATAGTTGAACGGATTCGAATGAGTTCAAGTTTTGTGATATAAAATATATATACCTATATATGTATAGACAAGCACATAAATATTTTTGATTTAATGTATAAGGGATGCTTAAAGGAAATTTATGCTTTTCTGCTCGGAGTAAACTAAAAATTATTTTTAAAAAATTTAATTTCATAATTTTCAATATAAGACCAAATTAATGCCTAAACAAGTTGCGAATTATAAAAAAAACGATTTTAGCTCATTCGTTCTAAATAATCAACAAACGCACTTCCTGTGAGCACAAACTGTATTTAATAGCACTCAAACGTAAGGCAACAACTACAAACAATTCGCTATATATTTGAATACATATATAGACCTTCTCTATAAGCACTATTAAGTCAATCAATATATCAGCTAGAACAGCTGAATAGCAGCATTTGATAAGCGTGTGCCTGATTACAAAGCACTTACAAAAATAAAAGAAAATAACAACAATAAAACTAACGGCAGACGTCATTTGCAAATAGTTGAAATCGAAGCAAAAATCTATTGTATATATCGTAAACACATCGTATCCTATCGTATATATACATCGTAACGACTTACAGCTGCTGCGCTGCTGATTATCATTAATTTAACCTGTTGATGAAAGCAGTTTTCCGTTCACGATAGTCGCGCACTATCGTCGACATTTTATTATGTGCCAAAAAAAAGCTAAATATGCTGTGGACTACAGCGAGAGGAGTACGAAAAGTCGGCATTAAGAGGGGGTTAGCGCTAATTGCGAACAGCGCCAAGTGTTGAGTTAGCGTGAAATTTATCGCTGTGAATACGTCGAAAACTTGGGCAAAGCAAAGCGCAACAAATGAGATAGATTTCAACTATATTGATTGACTTGCCAAATATCCTGTAAAACTAAGGTCTGCGAGTCTGCGAGTCGCTAGAGAATTTTTGTAGAGCATAGCTTAGAGATCATATGATAATAATTTGATCTCCTATGTGTATATACCCTCTATCAACTTGATTTGCTACAGGGTATATAATGAGAATGTGCAGCATGCATGCCATGCCATGCCATGCGGAGACTCTGTGTGCCTCTGCCTTTTGATTTAAGAAAATTGCTGTAGCGGGCCACCTGCGCGTATACGTAATCTAAATTTATTGGCTCATTAGAGAATTGTGTAAATTTCGCACGTAAGCAAACTAAAACCACAAATAATTTGTATATATTGGCAACACTTTTTTCTAATTGGCATTTAATTGCAATATGCGTATGCTAAAAATACACAACGAGTTTTTTTCAAAACAAAAGAGTAGAAAGTTCCAAAAGAAATGGGAAATGTTGACAAGCTGCCTGAATCATTATTCATTGCCTCGTCTACTTTCCCTCTCTACCTACTCCTGCTAGCTCACTTGGCTTTACGCTTTTGTTTTTACAGCACTCATACAGCAGCTGAAAGTCAACATTTGTGAGGCGTTTTTAATTGCAAGTCAATATATATATATATATATATATATATAAATATATATATGCATAAATATTAGCAGAGTTTGTGCAAAAGACTTACGGAACCATATCAGACAGCCAGTGTGTACACACTGTTCTCCAGTTCGAAATACAAGAATAATCTTTCAACTTAACTCACTTGAAGTGAACTCGAACTCAATGGAAGAGCTTCGTTTGTGTAAAGCGTATTTGCAATGGGGGCTTAGTTGGTGTTGGTAAACACATTCGATCAGACGACATAACGGTAAGTAAGCAAATATTGTAAAAAGCTAAAGCAAGAGTTGAGCTGAGATAGCGCAGACACGCCGAAGAGCAAGGTTTCCATGGAAATATTCAGTGCGTAAACTCTTTCCAAATAATATCAAGTAAATAGGGCAACATTGCAGACGCTTTTAGTTCGTTGTGCAACACTGTAAAGTGCTTTGTTGAAGGTTACATACAAAGAATGTTTAGAAAAACATAACACAACATACGATGGATGTTGCTTGAAAGTAATAGTCGAAATACTTTCTATATTTCTCTTATCGGACATGTGTTATATGGCAATGCCCTGCAAATACCCATCAATTTGTGTATAAGCACAGTATACTTACTGCTTGCCGGCAGCCTACCCTAGAGGCTTTATACATAACCCTAGTCAAGCTATTTAATCGAATGTTATCGCTCACCTGCAAAGAGATACAAAAGTAAAGAATAATTAATAAATTTTATTCGAATTTGAATAAAAATGCAAAATAATTTTGAGCAGTGCTCGACTATAAAATACTCTATATAATGTATTAGTTATAGATTTTCTTTGGGATTTGCCTGCTTTATGTCTTCTCTTTTGCGGTTTACAAACTGCTGAAAAATGTTGTCAAATTTCAATTTGAAGACGCAAAAAGGCGCAACTAAGCGAATGTATAGGAGATGCCTGTAATTAATTGGCGTGTTTAGCGTGTGGCAACAGCGCAAAACCAATTGAAAATTTATATAAATAAACTCAAAATCGCAGACGTCAAGAATCGAATGCATTTTTGGCCAACGGCCATGCGAGCCAAAAATCTTGTCAATGAAATGTAAATGTAAATGTGAATATAAAAATAAGTAAAATGAATGCATAATGAATCGGAAATAGTTTTCGAGCCAAGTGCGAAGTCAGCTGTGAAATGAAAACGAAAATGAAACTTGCATCTAGTTTGGGGCAGGTGTCGGCTAGCTATTATATAAGTCCATATATAGGGATGCTTCTAGCAGCTTCTTGGCATTCGGCAGTCTAAAATATTTACAACAATATTTCAGCGGTCATCTGACAGGCGTTGAGTTCTCGCCGTTGAATGAGTCATGTGTTTGCCCTGTTCTTGTTCATAATTGCGAATTCTTTCTCTACTCTTCACATTTGGCATTCAAAATGTCAAAAAGTGGGCGGACAGTCAATTGATGTCTAGAACATTTTTTTGCTCGCAATTAGTGGCCATGGCCTTTGTAGCATGAAATTTTCTTTTGCATAATTTTAAGATCTATCATGGGCGAAGTTAAAATTCCCAAGAATTTTCTTACAGAAGATTTAAAGTTTCTTTAAAAAAAAGATCAAGTTAAACTCTGATATATATATTTACAGAGATATATAGCTACGTAGGCCTGCATCTATAATTTGTTAGACATAGTTAAGATGCAGCTAAAGTTGAGCTTTTGCTTCTCTATAATTAAAGCTAAACAGCAAGTAAGAGTGCTCTATGGAAGACTGCACGACTAGGAGATACCCGAACTCCTGAGAAAAACTTATATTCCACAACAAACATAGAATTTTTCAATGTATTCAGGGTGTTAGTATCGAAATGCAGGCTAGCATTATCTGAACATAATCTACCTTGAGCTAAAGATACTTTTCCAGCATTAAGATAAGTTGCGAACATGTTGCTTTGGCTTTGCTTGCCTAGCAAATGTCATCTAAAATTGATCAATGTCATTTTAAATGAAATTTTCTTCAGTTTCTCTACATAAACCCGCAATGACCCATCTCTTTTCAGAACAGTCCCGTAATATACGTGTCTCATAGAATTTAATTATGGGCATTTGTGTATATACGAATACATTGCCGAATAAAATACGCTGCAATAAGACTCACTCGCTTTACAACCCTTAGCAACGCCCAGTTTATTAACTCAAGGAAACAATAAGGAACGCAACACAAACATTAAAATAGAATAACATTTAACAAGATTTTTCTGAAATGGCCGCGTTGAGTGGCGTCTCAGGTGTATCCTGTATCTTGGCCTCGGCAGGCACATCCTCCACTTGCATTTTGCCGACCTTAATATCAATTACTGAATTGCTAGCATCGTCATCTTCAAAAGTGGATTCGATCAATTGCACATCGGAGCTATCGAGGAATGTATCATCCATATGACCATGGTCATTACCATTACCAATGATATCATTGTCATTGACATTGTCATCATCATCATCATCATTATCATTATTGTTATTATCATTAGCACCTTTATCAACATCCTCCAGATGCTGCTGCATGACGTCCTGCTCAGATTTAACCACCTTTTCTTGTACGTCCTCCTCCTCGACTAGTATCCCAACCAATGGATAATTTTTATCGAGCAGCGAGTCCCAGCGAGTTATATAATCGACGATCGTCTCGCGCGGCTGTAGAGTCCGCTCCAGGTACTCGGAGAAATTCTTGCCGGCCACACAGCCCAACACGCCCTGCGGACTGAACTCTTCCAAGCCCGTCGAGACATCATAAATCTTGCCCTTGAACGCAATTAGAATTCGTCCATCTCGACGGGTGCCATCGTAATCGAGCAATTGATTGGCTGTCATCCGGCTAAACGGAAACGGTGGCAACTCTGGCGGCGGAGCCTGCTCCTGTTTGGGTTTTTTCTCCCCGCCGCACACAGCTTGCCTCAACTTCTGATAGCAGTGACAAAATATATAGCCAACCACAATTAGGCCAAATATCAAAAAGGCACCAAACACTCCACTCTCCTCGGCCATGTTAGACGAATTTCATCTATGGATTCACCTTTTCGGAAAAGTAGAAAAACTTATTTACGAGAACTGATATGTTGTTCTATATGTAGTTTGCGTGTGACTGGATTTTCGAAATACGACGACACTAGAGTAAACGATTTATAATGGAGTTTCAAGGCCAACCTGGAGCTGGAGCTGGATATGAATTGAAAACTAATTTTGGGATCGGCAAGTGGCAAAGGTAATTGAACCATTTATTGAAACATTTATTTTTAAATGTTTCTATATACTAAATATGAAATGTTTTCCATGAAGAGTAGAACGAGCCTTTAGCTGACTTATTTTCTATTAACGAAACTGTAGCGGACCATAAAAGGACGGCATCAAATGAGAAGCTGAACAGGATCACAATATATTTTTAAAATGTTTTGAGAATTGGAGAAATGCTAAACAAAAGTTTTAATATATGATTTCTTTGAAGAGTGCACAAAATAGATATTTAAGAATAAATAAAAAAAATTTTAAGAAACGAAAACACAAAAATTGCGTTATTTTTTGAACCGACTCTTTATATGTTGTAAATCTCAATCAAATCAAAGAAATACTAAAAGTATTTCGAAAAGAAAAAGAAGCAGAAATCCTTTTTCTTTATTAAATAAAATTATTATTTGCGCTCATCTCTCTGCTTGTGATAAGTAAAGTGCTTAATATAATATATATATATATAAAGACAGTTCCTTTCGACTTATTTACAACAAGATTATCATCTACTACAGAATCTATAATCATATTGGATCAATCACTTCTTCCTATCATCACATTTCAACATTTTTCAATAACATTTTTATTCTGAATCGTCCCCACTTTATAAAGAATTCTAAATTATTTACTTTTGAACGACAAAATACTGGATCAAGCTGACCAAAAACAACAAAAATCCCGATGCTAATTGCTTAATTTAAATGCTCTTTTATTAAACTTATTTTTACATTTTTTTTTGTCTTCACAGTTGACAGCTGCGCAGTGCGTAGTAAACAAATATTTGCGTTGATAACAGCCAGCGGCGCCGTATCAAAATGATATCAGGCCAGACAAGTGCCACACTACCAGACCCACTTGTAGCAGGTGATAATGGCAGCGGGAATAACAGGAGTTCAGCAATGCGAGCAGTCAGCCAGCTGCCTGACAATGTTTTCAAAGAGAGTGAAAACGCGAGAGACGTTGACACAAAGTGTACACAAATATTTTTATTATGCAGTTATCAGTTGATTAAATATGAATTACACATACAAACACACACAGAGAGAGAGAGAGAGAGAAACACAAACACAAGTGTCATATGATAAGCGCCAGCACAGGCAAAAACATATTTCAAATACAGGGTGCTGCGTTCATTAGGACAAAACAGAGGTTGGACTTAAGGCAATGCCAACAATGAGAAAAGAACAAATAAACAAAAAAACAGAGCAGAATGTGTTTAGTTTCGGGCTTAAACATGTGTGCAGCAGTAGCAGCTACTGTGTGTGGTTAAGATATAAATATTTAGAGTAGCTTAGAGTTCTATAAAGACTTTTTTCAAATAGTTGTTATAGCTCTTCACTAGTATAGAATGCATCTATTTTTTTTTAAATTTTTTTATAATTTAATTCATAATTTTTTGCTTCTAACTATTAGGCACATACTCTCTATATATCAACTTTAATCTTAGAGATATTATTACGTTTTATGTTTTATTAATTTTAATTTTATTATTATACAAATTCATAATACTTTGGCATTAATTTTACTATCAAATCTTTCCATGCCAATAAAAGTCTTTATGTGATATAAAAAGTGAAGTCTTCAAGCTCACATTACTGGCATATTCTTCATATTCTTCGACAAACTTAATTATTAATATAAAATTAATGTATTTTATTAAAATTGTAAATATATTGCTTAACAAGTAAAAGTGCTCTAGTCGGAAATAGCCGACAAGCAGATACACTGAACCCTGTGAAAAGCCGCTGTATAATATTTCACGTCTCTAGCTCAAGAATATATATCATTTATGCGCTCTGTCAAGCATTTTTCTGCCCCCCAAAATCATTCTACACTGAATTTCCATTATTAATAGGTTGTAATGTAATGGGAGCTAGCATTTCAATAAAGATAATACTGTACTCGATGCCTAACTCATTGCAAGCTCCTTTTCGCATAAATGTTTAACAGAAATATATCAGATATGATACCTCGGTAAATTCAGCAAACTTAATATTTAGAATAAATTTTCTCTATCATTCCCAGTTGTAACAGCATTTGTATGGCTAGCTTTAATTCTTTATGAATTACCATATCTTAAAGTCTGCATAGCATAGATTCAAGAAACAATCTTCGTATACTTAATATTTCATAGAGCATATCGAATGTTATTCTATGATTACTTCACTTCATCTACCAATAGTGCAGTGTTATTGGTTATACTTTCTATATATGTTTAATAAATTATATCAAGACTCAATGCTTGCGCAATTTTCTTTAGCCAATTTCAATTTCCATGAACTTTACGATTGAACTCTATAAATATACATATAATCTATATATATGTACACATATGCCTATATATATATTTGCTATATATCAACAATATTGTTTATTCCGAGTGTAAACTGTAGCTACACGTTGTTATGAGTTTTACTTACCCAATAAAATCTTTGATAAAACAATAAACCTTAAATAAACCGCGATCATTATTCAGTAAATAGTCGGGCTGTATGACGGAAGCGGTCATAAGGCCAATGTTCGATTGTTGTTGCTGTTGCTGCTGTTGTTGCTGCAGCATTGTTGCTGAACTGCTGCTGCTGCTGCTGCTGCTACTGCAACTGTTGCTGCTAGCCGCCATTTTGTGGGCTAACGACGCAGCCATTTTGTAAATTTAACATGCATGTTAGCAGTTGCTGTCATTTATTCTGTTGTTGTTTTTAGCTGTTGTTTATTGTTATTGTTGTTATTGTATTTGTTGTTGTTGTTGTGTTAGCCGTGCACTTTACATATTGCAACTGTTAACCGTAAGGGAAGAAATTGTTTACGTTTCAAATGAAAACACGAAAACAAAAACCAAAAACAGAAGCGAAAATTCAATTACAAAGCAATTGCCAACAGTTTCAATCAATGGAAAATTGTACCAAAAAATTTGCCAATTTCATATCGAGCAGGTGGGCGTGTGTGTGTGTGTCTGTGTGTGTATATGTGTGTGTGTTGATAGGCATTGCATGCTTCATAATCAGAGACATTTATTCATATGAGCCAAGCAGTTAATTAACATTCCGTTTGCCTCGTTGCGCGGCTATCATAAATTACACAGATAGAGAAAGAGAAAGAGAGAGAGGGAGAAAGAACGAGTGTAAGCGCAGTAGATAGTAGCGTGTAAGCACTGTCTGCGACACCACTGTAATACACTCGCATCCTTCAAAATTGCATAAGCTTGAGCTCAATGCCTAGAACACACGCAGCTGAATCGTCGCGCTGAGCTTTTAAGCTTAAGTTTACGTCTGCTGTAGAGCTTTTTAAGCAAAAAGTACGCAACTGCAAATGCATTAATTTCTCTCGCTATAGAATATATAATCATCATCGTGGAAACTTGATAGAAATATATTAAAATGATATAAAAATTATATTTATATTATATCAGAAATCAATGCATATCTACATAAAGTGCGTCAAATTTTGTCAGTATGGAACGTAAGCTTATAAAAAGACTAGATAAGATAGAAACTATATGTTTAATGACGTGGGCTTCACTGTATAGCAACATATAAGAAATAAGCAAATGAAGCTTAAAATTGAAAATAGACAGATCAACGCTCAGTAGACTTTCAAACTAATTAAAAAAAAAATATATACAGTTTCTCTTGAAGCATCCTACTATAGCCACTACACACACTGACAAGCAGACAGACAGAAATATGTTGATTATTTTCTAAAAACTTGGTCGTTAGTCAGGCAGGCAGTGAGAGTGAGGCAGTTGGCAACAAATGGCGCACACGTTGACAGTTTGGTTTTGGAATTATGACAGCTGGGCTGTCAAGTGCCACGCCCCCTCATCTCTGTGCGACTTTTACAAGTGTAAAACACAACAAGCAACAAGCACGAGCTAAATGAAAACGATGTTGCCGCCATGATAAGGCGAGCGGCCAACACCAAAAATATAAAAAAAAAACACTAAAGAAAACATTGAAAAAGAAAAATTGTGTTTACAACGAAATTAATTAACATATTTAATTAAGGCAGCAACAAGCCGAAGCACACGTGCTTTAGATGCAAAATTAAATCAACGAGAGAATGTAAAACCAAAAAAATATATATATAAAAATATAATAAAATAAATATATATATAAAAGAGCGCGTGAAAGGTCGAAGTTTTGATACCCTTAGAGAAATTGTGGCTTAGTAGAAATTTTATTTGAAATTTTATTAACAAGTGATTGTTGCAAGAGTTCTTTTTATCTATTGCTAGATATATAAATGTATTTAAATGAGTTTTAGTCTCTTTGAATTAGTTAAGGAATTTTTTGTTATGAGTCATTTCCCAAGTAAAGCTTTCTGCTATTTAGAAGGATAACGATTATATTTTTATAGAAAATAGGGAACTGAACTATGTATCAACTTTTGAGAAGATATACATAACATAGTTTAAAGATCTAGCTTTATAGAATTATAGTTTATAAAAGATCTTGAGAATAAGGAATATCTATGTTTACTAATTCTTATATGATGTATACATATCTAAGTATAAAGAATGGGTATTCTAATAAAATATTTTAATACGGATATAGTGCAACGATCTGAGACGTTGTGTGACATATTTGATGAATTATTTGAAATGCCCTAAAGAGTGTACAAAATCATTTACATACACAGATTATTATGGGGTGGGAGTATAGAACTGAAGGCAAGGCCAAAGTTGGCCCACTTGATGTGTATAGAGGAGCGGCAGGCAGGTGCTTTGTGGTCACTTATTAGACAGTCGAGATTTTCAAATTTTAGGGCCCTTTTTAATGAACGTTGAACGTTGAACGACGACCCTGACTTTGACTTTGACCAAAAACAAGTCACGTTCTGAGTGTGTGGGCACTTGACGTAGCATTTGAGTGTGCGAGTGCG